AGAAAAGGGGACTCTAGTACACTGCTGGTGGGAATGCAGACTGGTGCAGCCACTGTGGAAAACACTATGGTGTTTCCTCAAAAAGTTAAAAATTGAACTGCCATTTGACCCAGTGATCCCACTTCTAGGAATATACCCTAAGAAGCCTGAAACACCAATCAGAAAGAATATATGTACCCCCATGTTCATAGCAGCACTATTTACAACAGCTAAGATCTGGAAACAGCCCAAGTGTCCATCAGTAGATGAGTGGATACAAAAGCAGTGGTACATATACACAATGGAGTACTATGCAGCTGTAAAAAAGAAAGATCTCTTATCCTCTGAGACAACATGGAGGGACCTAGAGAGTATTATGCTAAGCCAAACAAGCCAAGCAGTGAAAGACAAATATCACATGATCTCACTTATTTGTGGAATATAATGAACTAAACAAACTGCTGAACAAAATTAACCCAAGACGTAGAGGTGGGGTACAGATTGACAAGCCTTAGAGGAGGGGGGGGTTTGTGGGAAAAGAGATAAACCACAGAACTTACATGCATATATGCATGACCAATGAACATAGACAACAAAGCTGGGGATGGGGCAGTGGGGGCGGGGGGGGAGAAGGAGGGTGTCAATGGGGAAAAATGAGAAACATCTGTAACAAAAACAAATTAATAAATAAAAAAATAATAAAAAAATAAAAAATAAAAAAAATAAATAAATGTTTCCCATTGATTTTCCTTATAAAACCCAAGGTGTATTTGCCTGAGGACAACATTGATCCTAAGGAATAAAATAGTCACATCTAAGAATGGAGAAAATCCTTAAGAAAAACATACTTAAAGATGTTTTGGTTGATTTAAAGGGTAATGAGATGCTAGAACATATGCAAAGCAGTAAGGGTAATTTTTATGTTTTGTGTAGTAGTTTGAATGGTTCTATTAAAAACAAAAATGTAAGCTGAACAGAAAATCTTTGACTGACAGCTTATTTAGCTTCTTTTTAGCTCCTTCAAGATATTTTACAGCCGGAGACTATGTGCTTACTTTGACTGCTCAGACCTGCTTCTGGGTCCCAAGGGAAGCATTTGGAGATGACTAGGTTGATCCGGGATAGGAGCAGGAAAGAGCAGCCTCACAGCTGGGGTGGGAAGGCAGAACACAGCCCTAACGAACAGAAGGCACCCGTTTGGCTCACCGGGAGAACCAGGGCACACTGAGTGTTCCGACAATGTACATCCAACAGTACCCTGATTTCTGTGTGATGACAGAATTTATAGCTGGCTAATAATTCCTGGTTTGGGAGAAATGGCATGTAAACATTCTACGACGTTGCCTTTTGGTATACAGAAGTTCTGAATATGCTACTGTATCAACCAAACGCTCTTACAATGGTAGCTTTTTTCAGAGCAGTACTGAGTGGGGCCAATGTAAAGTGAGGGGCTGGACTTTGCTCAAGGTCCCGATGGCTCTGGGAATCTGGGGCTAGGTCGTGAGGCTGCGGTCTTCTTTCAGGTTGCTGGGAACTGCTCCGCATCGGGCCGTGCGGGCCTTCGAATTCTAGGAGCGGAGGCATTGGCTCCCACCGCTCCGTCACTCTGGGTCAGGCCTCAGGTCCTCGAGGTCTTGTACCACTTCTAGGAGTTTCTGAGAGTCTATCATATCCACCACGAATGCCTTGCTTTGCCCTTTTCAAATTCTAGAAACAAGACACAATGACATTACTAGAAAAATGCTTCATTTTCATCTTTGAATCTATCTTTTGCTTTTCTTGAAAAGAGTGAGTTGGTGCAGAGACTGACCAGGAGCTGGGTGGTGGCTGGCTCTCTGCCTGCCTCCGGGACTGCAGGGCCTTGGAGAATCCAGCCCGAGTCTGCGGTGGGGCAGGGACACACCTGCCCGCAGGGTTTCTAAGGGCAGCAAAACTCCTACACGACAAGCAGAGTCTCTTCATGGCATTACTTAGAAGCGAAGCCGTCAGAGGCATTTCAGTCAGGTTTATTTTTATTTTTAAAATATGTTTTTTATTGATCTTTTTAGAGAGAGAGGAAGGGAGAGAGAGATATTGATGGGCTGCTTCCTGCATACCCCCTACTGGGGACTGAGCCCACAACCCTGGCATGTGTCCTGACAGGGAATCCATCTGGGGCCTCTCAGTCTATGGGACGATGCTCAATCCTGAGCCACACGGGTCGGGCCTTCAGTTTGCAGTCTGTTGTGCTTTATTTCTGTGCTGAGGTGCCTGCTCGACCCTGCTCTCAAGAACTCTCAAAATCCTCTTCTTTCCTGGGTCTAAACTGAGCTCAGTCACCCTGGGCTTCTGGAGAAACAACTTGTCCTACTGGCTTCTACTTCAACAGGGTTTACAAGCAGTGGGGAGAGATCCCAGGCTTCAGAGGTAAGCAAGCTGCCTGGGTTTGTTTGCATCCTAGTTCTACCACTTTCTCGCTCTATGACTGTGGCCACTTACCTTAATCCCTCTGTGCTTCCTTTTTCTTCTCTGCAAAAGAGGGATGATAATATAATCCGTCTCATAGGATTGAGTTCACTTCCGTAAACTGCTTAGCATAAAGCCTGGCAAACTGTTATTACTGACTTTGAGTTCCTCCCAAACCTGAGTCGTTGGTCCTCAATAAATCCTTATTAAATACATACATCTAAACTGTTTTCTTGTTCTCCCATGGTCTTTGTTAATCAACTTTTTCCCCAATCTATATTCTCCTCACCAAAGTGAACTCTTCAGGGGGCTCTCCAGTAAATCTGTGTCCAAGTCTCAATAGGACGCACCATCTACTGGCCTCAATCCCTATAGGCAGGGGGCCAAAATGACATAACACACAACAGGCACATTCTGGCCATTGTTGGGGACAAGAGTGACATGCCTTTTCTCTTTGGAAGTTAGACCAACACTCCATTATCTAGTTTCTCTCTACAGCAGCGGTTCTCAACCTGTGGGTCGCGACCCCTTTGGGGGTCGAATGACTCTTTCACAGGGGTCGCCTAAGACCATCGGAAAACATATTTCCCATGGCGATTCATAACAGTAGTCAAATTACAGTTATGAAGTAGCAACAAAAATAATGTTAGGGTTGGGGGCCACCACAACATGAGGAGCTGTATTCAAGGGTCGCGGCATCAGGAAGGTTGAGAACCGCTGCTCTAGAGGCTTCTTTGTTTTTGACACTTGATGTTCCACTGATCTCCATGAGTAGAGGAGAGGCTACAAAGTCACTATGAGAACAGTTTCAGTGCTGCTCCTCCGTCAGAGTTCCTCGCCTTACCAGCCAGCTGGGGTTTCTGTTGAGACTCCCCATTCCCTTCCCCTCCCCTCCTGTCCTTGAGATGGTAACACTGGGACCTCGGGGCCCAGAACCAAAGTTAATGTACAGTCCTTGCTAAAGGCAGGCGAGTGGGGTCATGAAATGGTAACGAAAGCTGGCCACATCATTTATCTGGGATTGATTGATGTCAACCAATGAAAGGGTTTAACCAATGCAAGAAGCCTGGTTCTACTCTATCCTTATTTGCTAGTAAAGGAGCCAATTAGTGTTAATTGTGTTGGCAATTTGGAACAGCCACCAGGGAGTTGCTACAAGACAATTGCAGAAGGACCTCTCTGTCCCATTCTAGTCTCAGCCATTACTCATAGTCAGATGGGGAATCAGAGTACTTGCAAATACCTTTGGGTCAGGGAGAGTAAACACAAACTCTTCTCACACATTCGCAGTGCCCTGGATGTCAGTCTTTAATATTGGACATGCAGTGACCTGATGATACAGTTCTGCTTTTGAGAGAGACAAGTGTGGATGGACTGAAGGGAATGCATTTTACCATGTTCACAATCTCACAGATGATAGTTCAGTGAAGGCCGGAGGGGGTGCAGGAGCAGAGTGGAGGGGCACAGTGAGGGAAAAGGGGGAACATCTGCAGTACTTTCACCAATAAAGATTTAAAAGAAAAAAAAATGTTCACAATCTACCCCCCCATCTTGTTATTGATGACCCAATTACCTACTCTTCTCCATCCCCACCTAAAGCCGCTAATTTACTTAATAAGAGAAGATGGGGGGCGGGGGGCGGGGTGGGGGAAGAGTGGGAGCCAGTGAGTGGCTCTGGAGGGTGAGGAATGCCAGATAACGGAAGAAAAAGACAAATCTGATCACCTCCAGCGTCCTTGAAGCGTACTAGTAAGGATGGCATTGTCACCTCCTTATTTGTTTTGCCTCACAGACGGTTCTTCTCGAACTGGGACGTGGCTCCCGGACCCTGCGCAGCCCTGCTTCATCAGGGCGACACCAGGGACGGAAACGGGACAGCGCTGTGGCCCCAGACCTGGCGGAGGCGAGGTGGAGGAGGGGACGCGCCTTCTCCGGCCCTCGCCCACCCAGCAATCGCCCGCGTCCGGCCGGCCTCCCCGCCCGCGCGCACGCAAGTCCCCGCGTCCCGACCCTGAGCCCGGGCCCTCGGGCTGGCTGGCCGGGCGCGGGGCCTTCGGGGGAGGAGGATGTCGCGGGAGGGCCCTGCTCGCCACCTCCCGGCCGCGGCCGCGTCGGCCCTGTGTCTCTTCCTGCCTCGGGCGCACGTGGCACGAGGCGGGCGGTTCGGGTGATGGGGCAACATTTCGTCGGGAGGGAAGCGGGGCGACTGCCGAACCGGTGCAGCGGTCGGGGCAGGGCCGCCGGAGCGAGTCCGGCACCGCCGCCGCGGGCCAGGCGCGAAGCCCCCGGGAGCGCGCAGGGCGGGCACACTCGGGGCGCCCCCGGCGGGGAGCCCGGAGCCAGCGCCGGGGGCGCAGGCCCACGCGGGAAGGTCGAGCTCGCGGGTGAGGTCACCGTTGCCATGGCTCCGGGCAGTGACGCGCGTCGGCACGTGACGCGCGGTTGCCATGGCGCCGGGCCCCGGCGGCGCGGGCGCCCCGCCCCGGAGTGACGTCAGCGCGGCCCCCTCCTGCTCCCGCCCCCCGCCCCCTCCCCGCCGGCTCCCCGCGGCCCCGGAGGTTTCACTGCACAACAAGATGGCGGCGGCGGCGGCGAGCGGAGCCGGCGGGGCGGCCGCGGCCGGCGCGGGGGCGGCGGGGCCGGCGGGCCGCCTGCTGCCCCCGCCCGCCCCGGGCCCTGCGGCCGCCCCAGCCGCTGTGCCCCCGGCGGCCGGCTCGCCGCGGCCCCCGGCGCCGGCCTCCCGCGGGCCGGTGCCCATCCGCATCGGCCACTACGAGATCGACCGCACCATCGGCAAGGGCAACTTCGCGGTGGTGAAGCGGGCCACGCACCTCGTCACCAAGGCCAAGGTAGGCGCGGGGGCGGCGGGGCGGCGGGCCGGGCGCCGGGCTGCGGGACCGGCGGGCGCCGGACCTGCGGGGGCGTCGGGCGCCGGGACGGGCGCCGAGGAGCGGGCGGGAGGGGTCCCGGCGCCGGCGGCGGTCGGAAGGGGTTCGGAACTCGGGCCGAACCGCGGGCCAAGCTCGGAAGGCTCTGGAACCAGCAGGGAGGAAGCCCCGGGGACGCGGGCAGGGGCACAGGAAACGTGGACCGGGCCGGGCGCCGGCAGGGGAAGCCGGCCGCGGGGGTTGCGAGGGGAGCGGGCGCCGGGGCTGCTCTCGGGCTGCGCGCCGGGCGCGGGAGGCCGGAGGGACCTGGTCCCCCCCAGAGACGCCGTCAGCGCCTGGTCGTCCGGCAGGGACAGATGGCGGGATTGGAGGCCGGAGGACAGAAGGACCACTGGAGGAGGACAGGAGCAAAGTGGGGAAACGCTGGGGAGAAATCACCTTGCCTTTCCGCAGCGATGGGCCCCGGGAGCAGAGTGGGGGCGCGTTTAGGGCGGCGGTGGGTCACCAGGGGTTAAACACTTGGGGAGCGCTGGGTTCTGGTTCGTGGAGTTGTCGGAGGGTCTGGAATTGTGGGCGTTGTGGAACCCAGAGGGGCTCTCGTGGTGAGGGGACAGCCTGGTGACGAGGAGGTGTAGGAAGGACCTGGACGCAGGAGGACCCCCCCTGGGGCCCTTCGGTTCTCAGGGGAGCCGCGGAGCTGTGGTGGTGGAATGGGCCAAGGTCAGTTAGGAAGCCATGTGTGTATACGTATACGTTTTACTGTCAAGTATCCTTTGGGAGGAAATGTGGGTAGCACTTTCCTGTCGTCTTTTTCTTTGGGGGTGTCGGAATCTCAGGCATCAGGCGGAGTGGTTTGGTTTGAGGTGGACCCACAGAGCCCATCTGCACTCCAGTTTTTTCCTTCGTTCAGCCTCTCACTTGGAGGAACTCTTCCAGGGTAGTCATTGCACCATCTTGGAGATTGCAGTTGGTTTCCCCCAGCCCGCTGATGAAGAACCCTCCCCGCTGCTGCTGCTGCTGCTTCCTACCCAAGCCACATCAGTTCCCCTCGCCTCCTCAGCGGCCTCCTTGTCGTCACCTACCTGGGTTTTGCTTTTATGGCAGTGGCGTGTTTTCAGAAGCCAGCGACTTATCTAGGCCTTCTCTCCTGCTCGCTCACCGCCTGAAGTTCCTTCCCCCTCGTTTCGGCCCTAGACTACAAGGGGCCCTTGTAGTGGCAGGGTGGGTGCCTGTGGACAACTGATTGGTCAGTTTCACTTCCTCTGGGGAGGGGGTGTTCTTCAGCCTTTCTGGCAGTTTTTATCCGAGGGCCTCAAGTCTGTAGGTCTGAGCTGCGGGAGATAACACAGTCCATGGTTCCCCATGTTACCCTGGTACCCTCCAACCCCGGGGGTGGGGGGTGGGGGTAGACCGGGCCAAGACTCTGGTGCATCTCTACCCCCCTCACACCCCCAGTGTTTCCAGTTCTGTTTACTGTTGGCCAAGCCAAACATGTTGACAAACAACACTAGTTGTTGGAGCCTTGTTCCTCGTTTTGTTATTTCTTTTTTGTACTGTTCCCCCCCCCCCCCCCCATCACATTGATCTCCTGTGATTACTTTGCTCTGACTTTTAGGGGATGTACTCCATGAACTTAATTGGTTGCCTGGTTTATAGTATCTATGACTTAAAGAATTTTACATCTTCCAGCCCTGGGATACACCAAAATATTGATAAAAATGTTTTCTGACAGGGTTGTTGAATGTTTTTGGAAATGCAATTGCAAACAGTTGATTCTTGGCGTTATATATAAAAGAGACATTTCTGTTTTCAGTAGTCAGCAAAACCAGTGGCTAATTATGGCTGGTCTGCCCACTTTCTAATTTTCCTGTGTGTGTTTCTTAGTTTTTCTCTGAGGCTTTGGTATCCTTTAGGACTGCAACATTTTAAACATCGGCTTGTTTATAAATGGGTATCACTGCTTATGTTGGTTTTAACTTTGATCGTTTGTGGTGTGGAATTATGCAATTCCTTTGTATGGAAATATTAAAAATCTTGAATGAGACTGAAATGGATGGTTTGGACAGTGAGTTCAGTGAATTAGTTGCATGTGTGATGGGACCACACCAGCACTCATTTGTGTTTCTGCAGCAGTGTGCAATTTCCTAGTTACAGTACAGTTACAAGTGCCCTATCTTTTGTTGCTTAAATTACTCTGAGAACATGAGTGAAGCTTAATTCACAAGGAGTTGTCATGTGCTCTGGGTGAACGGTGAGCATATTTTGGCCTGCTCCATGCCTCGTCTGAATCCACTTTGGAAGGGTTTCTCAAATGCTGACAGCTTAGATGTGCTTAACAGCTGCGGACATACAGTATGATGGCCTGTTAAGGCCATGGCTGGTTATATAATGGCGAAGAAGGTGCCTCGGTTACCAGCAGTTACAGAAGCTGCCTTTTCAGCTGCTCAGGTGGGTAGATTTTTCTTCCCATGCGCTGCAGCGTTTACCTTACTTCTGCAGTCAGGTCGCTTGGAATCAGAGAGCTATTTTTCCCCCCATCTTTTTCCCAGAATGTATTGTTTTTGTGTTTAGTCTTTTAGAGGTATGTTTTTTCTTCTGTCTCCTTTTATCCCTGCTGGCCAGTGAATGGTCTGGGTTTTTCTTATAGTCGTATAGAACAGTTAGACTCAGGTAATTCAGATCGTATTTGTGTTGGCTGGAGGAAGCTAGGTAGTAGGTGTTTCTGAACATCAAAGAAATATTTATGGTCACCTTTCCTTATATGTACTGCCCATTCCAAGGACTAAAAGGCTGATGTACACTGCATTTATTGACTGAGCTACTTCACTCTGTCCAACAATAAGTGGTGAAGCTGGCCCTTTCCCAGATTGCTAACTCTCAGACCTCCTAGAGAAAGACCCTGGGATGGATACATCAGTAGAGAAGAGGCAGTATTTTTCTGTTTGGCTGCTGTGACTTTCGCAGCCCCGCGTGCACCAGCCCAGAGTTGACGCTGGCAGCACTGCAGTGCTTGGGGTGTCCCTGCAGAACAGTCAGCAGGAGGGGGTGTTCGTCTCTGACATACTTTGGTCAGCAGCTCACCCTGGCTGTCTTTGTCTTGCCGTCTTTGATTTCCTGTTTTTGGAGGAGCCTTAGTCTGGGATTCTTCGCCTCTAGTCTTTTGGTGGAACACTGTAAAGTATTAAAAAGATTTAAAAAAGAGATTTTCTGCTCTCAGTTACTTATAGTCTGTTGCTTGTGCCCAATTATACTTTCACTGGTTGGATGAATAAGAACAAAGAGTAGATATATTTTGCATACATTTTTTAAGTATACATGACTATAAAAGCCATTGGTCAAAGACTTAAAAAAAAATCCTCACCTGAAGATATTTTTTAAACATTAACTTTTAGAGAGAGAGATTGGGGGGAAATGGGGTGAGAGAGAAGGAGAAAAAGAGAGAGAAACATCAGTTGGATGCCTCCCATATATGCCCTGACTGGGAATTGAACCTACAACCTAGGTATGTGCTCTGATCAGGAATCGAACCTGCAGCCTTTTGGTGCACAGGATGATGCTCCAACCAACTGACCCACCTGGCCAGGGCTCAAATGCTTTTAATATGTATTTCAACAGTATTACATATCTCTTCTCCATTATTGGTTTATAAGAGTTGGACTTTTGGATAAGGCTGCTGCTTAATAGCTGGATGATCTTGGGTAAATTATTTAACTTCTCTGTGCTTGGGTTCCCTCATCTGTAAAATGAGATGACAACAGTATTTACCTCCCAAGTTGGGTATTATGAAAATTAAATAATAATAATATATGTGAAGCTCTTAGAACAGTACCTGGCATATAGTAGGCATATAGTTAGTGTTATTATTATCATCATCAGATGCTGTCGTAACAAAGATGAGTAAGACAGTCCCCCTTTTTGACCTTTCACCCCTTGGGAACATTTTACAAATGCACATGCGATTCATTTTGTGTTGGTAGCTGCCATGCTGATGATATGCTTTCTGGGTGGAAAAGAAGTTTGTGATTATGTCTGGGGCCACTCTGAGATAGTTGGGTTTAACTCCTGTGGACTATGGGCTAATTTCATGAAATTGGGAAATTGGGATTTTTTAAAATCCTCACTCGAGCATATTTTTCTATTTTTATTCAGATAGGTGGGGGAGAGAAGGGGAGAGAGAGAGAGATGTGAGAGAGGTATATCGACTGGCTGCCTCCCACATGACCCTGACCAGGGCCAGGGACGAACCGCAACCAAGGTACGTGCCCTTGACCAGAATCGAACTCTCAACTCATTGGTCCGCAGGCCAACGCTGAAATTGGGATTTTTAAAACAATTTTTCATTAGTTAAACTTTTTTTTTTTTTTTTTTTATCCTCACCCGAGGATATTTTTCCATTTTTTGTACAGATAGAGTGGGAGGAAGAGAGAGGAAGGGAGAGAGAGAGAGAGAAACATCGACGTGAAAGGGTCACATCGAGTGGCTGCCACCCGCACGACCAACCAGGGCCGGGGACAAACTGCAACCGAAGTACGTGCCCTTAGCGGGAACCGAACCCGGGTCTCTCCGGACTGCAGGCCGACGCTCTAACCGCTGAGCCAAACCGGCCAGGGCTCATTAGTTAAACTTTTAAATAGCTATGAGACTTATCTAATGAAAACTGTGACTGATGCTGGCTTTTATTTGGGCTTCTTTGGATTTTCTGTGTGTTTGTGTTACTAATCTTTGTCACTATGGAACAGAATTTGTGTGCAGTCTTTTCTCCAGAGAGTCCCTTACATTTGGTGGAGAACGTGAAGAAATATTCTTGCAAGACTTAAGAACACATTTGCATTTGAGTGCTCTTAGAAGTCCAAAGTCAGGATTCTTAACTTTAGATATTACACAGAGGAAACATTTTGCCCCATGACCCCATTCCAAATGTTGACCAGCCAGGACACATTTGTGGACTGTGGTTTAGTGCG